AAAAGAAAACTACATTGTCACATTATAATCAAATTATTAAAAATTAGTGACGAAGAATTTGTCTTAAAATCAGCCCAGAGAAAGAGAAATCTTTTAAAAATCTTAAAAATTTTTAAAATTGCACATTTCTCTTTGGAAACAATATGAGCTAAAATATTGACATATGTCATTAAAGAATGACATATTTACTGTGCTGAAGGAAAAAGACTGCCAACCTAATATTCCTTCCCGGGCAAAAAATTAAAGCTATTTGTGGATAGACTCTATTATCACTATGTCAGTTCTTCCTAAGTTGATCTATAGATTCAGTGCACTCCCATTCAAAATCATAGCAATTTATTTTGTGGATATTGACAAATGATGCTTAAGTTTATACAGAGAGGCAAAAGACCCAGAATAGCCAATACAGTTTTAAAGGAGAAAGACAATGTCAGGCTGACACTACCTGACGTCAAGACCTTCCTGCAAAGCTATAATAATCAGGACAGTGTGGAGTTGGTGAAAGAATAAACAAATAGGGCAATGGAACGGAACACAGAGTTCAGAAATAAACCCATACAAATACAGTCAGCTGAGCTTTGGCAAGTAATCAAAGGCAATACAATGGAAAAAGGATAGTCTTTTCAAGAACTAGCACTGGAACAACCAGACATCCACATGCAAAAGAGAAAAAAGAATCTAGATACAAAACTTACACTCTTCACAAAAATTAACTCGAAATGCACCTAGACATAAATATAAAATACAAAACTATAAAACCTAGACGATAACATAGGAGAAAGTTTAGGTAACCTTGGGTTTGGCAATGACTTTTTAGATACAACATTAAAGACACGATCTATGAAAGAAATAACTGATAAACTGTATTTTATTAAAATTGAAAACTGCTCTGTGAAAGACACTGTTATGAAGATACGCCACAAGCTGGGAGAAAATATTCTCAAAAGAAATAACTGATAAGGACTGTTATCCAAAGTATACAAGGAACTCTTAAAACTCAACAATAAGAAAACAAACAATCCAATCTCTAAAAATAGAGAAAAGACTTGAACAGACACCTCATCGAAGAGGGTATACAGATGGCAAATAAGCCTATGACTAATGTTCAATGTCATATGTCATTAAGCAAATTTAAATGACAGTGAGATACCACTACACACCTCTGAGAATGGCCAAAATCCAAAACACTGACAACACAAAATGCTAGCGAGAATGTGGAGCAATAGGAATTTATAATGATAGAGGGGCCAATTCATAAAAAAAAAATAGATATTAAAAAACCATAATAATTGCAAATATGTAATCACCTAAATAACAGAACTTTAAACTATATCAAATAAAACCCAATAGAGGTGGAAGGAGAAATAGACAAATTCACTGTTATAGTTGGGAATTTCACACTCCTCTCTCAGTAATCGATAGGAAAATAGGCAGAAAGTCAGTAAAGATATACAAGACTTGAACAACATTCTCAATCAGCTTGATGTAATTAATGTTTATTAAACACTCCACTGACAACAGCAAAATACACATTTTTTTTCACGTGCACTTCTAGCATTCACCAAGATGGACATAAAACAAATCAATAAATTTTTTAAAAAATGAAATCATTTAGAGTATGTTCTCTGATCACAATGTAACTAAACTAAAAATCCATTACCAAAAAAAAAAATGTCTAGGGAATCCCTCAAAATATTTGGGAATCAACAACACACTTCAAAATTATCCATTGGTCAAACACTAATTAACAAGGGAAATTAGAATAACTTTTGAATTGAACAAAAAAGAAAACACAACATATCAAAATTTGTGAGATGCAGCTAAAGCAGTACTTGGGGGGAAAAAAATACTACCTTTAAACATTTCTATCTAAAAAAAAAAGAAGAAGAATGGTCTAACATCAACGATCTAACCTTCCACCTTAAAAAGCCAAAACAAGGATGATCAAATTAAACCCAAAGTAACATGGAAGAGAATAATAAAAATAAGAGCAAAAATACATGATTGCAAAAAATAGAGACAATCAAGAAAACCGAAAGCTTTTTTAATCTAAAGATTGGTAAATACGCAGATGTTTACACATTTAAAGTTAAACTAAAATATTTAAGATGTGTAATGTTTAATTGTTATGATTTCTCCCTTCAATGAACTTTTCACAGTAAGTAAACAACTACATGACCTATTGGCAAGAGGCCTTTATTCTAGTTATATATTTATTATTACTGTTACCTTCTACCTATGGCAGGTGATTCCTTTTTTCCATTTATCATAATTACAAAATTTCTTTTCAAAATAAACTCATTTAGGTTACATAAAGTAAACAGATTTAAAGAAGTTTCTTATAATACCGGAGGAAGGCAGATATGGCAAAAATCATGACAGTGATTTCCTAATAAATGAAGTTAGGGGAACACTGGGCTAGATGATTGCTGAGGTTCCTGCCAACTCAGAAATTCTACAGTTTAATCTGCTATCTTCTCAAATATAGCCTTCTAAAGCTCTTGAGTGTTCACTGTGAGGTCATAAGTGGGGGGAAAAAAGCCATCTACATATATCCACATACACAGATGTATGTGCATTATTCATAAATAAATGAGCAAAGCTATACATTTCAAAAGAAAATGAGAACTAAATTCTGTGACGATCGTTATTCATTCTGAATTCCCCAGTCATGTAACATGGAATATGAGATTTACTGTGAATAGAGCGTGAAATTGAGATAAAATAAAATATCCTGACAGACTCATTTTGGACCCGGATGTTCAGTGTCAATCACTTAGATGCAACTTCTGTTTTAGTAAGAAATAGCCTGGAATGAATTTTTCTAATGACATCATAAGTTTCTAATTTAGTAAGAACTTAGTCCAGGAATTTACTTTTTAACTAAACGAATGGTTTTAGAGCCTTCTCCTTTGAGCTCAGTGCTGGCTTAGTTCCACTTTTCTGGAACTATGTATATTGTTTCCATTTGTGATCAACGAACTTTTCTTTCATTTGAATTTAAAAACACTAAGTATCTCTTTGGTTTCATCCATTATTTTCCTTTCTCTCTGCTCAATTTGGAAGAATATCGACATTTTCGAAAGGAAAATCAAGCTGCTTAAGGATAATGTTAGCAGCATAGCATGCTAGAAACAGCCATACCTCAATGCCATACCTTTCTAGAATTCCGTGAGAAGGAATCTGAGGGGCAAGGATCCAGGCACTAAGACATTAAATGATCTTTACTTTCTAATTTGTATCTTCCAAACACCCTTGTGAGCTGGCTTTTTTCTTAGGCTTATTAACTTGTCCACGTTGACCAGGTGACAGGTGGTAGAACTGCAATCTACAGAACCGGTCTGCAGGAAGGGTGCACAAAGCACCCTGGTCTCCAGCATGTGGTCAGAGGAAGCAACGGAGCAAAGACCAAGAGGCAGGAGATCCCTGGCACATTTGAGAAACAACAGATGGTTTTGTATGCTAAGTAACAACTAGGATGGAGGCAGATGAAACTGGATTGGCAGAGGAAGGTCAAGAAGGATAGACTTTAGCTTCGAGGAGGCCTTGTAGAGTTTTGACAAGAATGGTCAAAGATAGGCCTTAGAACATTAATTCAGCAGCGGTGTGAAGAAGGCTTTGAAAGAGGAAGAATAGTTGAAGCTCAATGGTTAGGAAGCTCAACGGTATAGTCCAGCCAAGGAGTGACAGTGGGTGAAATGCTCACAAGTCTCATGACTCAAGATCTAATGTCTAGTACCAAGCCTTGTTGCACACTTGGATAAATCATTGGACCTCACTAAGCTTTGCATCCTAATTGACAGGAAATATATACGGTTCCTCCAAGATCTAAAATTCTACAAATTCAGGAGGACCTCAATTAAGATAATTTCATGACCATAAAGACAGAGATAAGAACGTGTGAGGCATACTTTAGAGACGGAAGTGAAGGAACACAGCAACTAAATGAACCTAAAGGTCAAGAAGGAGAAATCAAAAGACTGCCAGATTTTTAAGCCTAGACACTCAGAAGGGTCAACGAAAATAAGAAACACAGGAAGAGGATAGGAGGGCAACTGGAAGTGGTTTTAGAAACATTGATTCTGAGATGTTAATGAGACAGGTTGGATGTGTTCAAAAGACCAGCAGAAAAAAGAATCAGGAAGACGGGCTCCAGCCAGAGTTCAGACTTGGAAGCTATTTTCATAGGCAGGAGCGTGTATGAGATTGCTTAGGCATAGACTGTAAAGAAGGGCAGTGAACAATCAGCGCTGGCTGTAGCTACTTGCTGGAAACACAGAGAACCAGGTTTCAGGCAAAAAGTGTCCAGAGAGGCAGAAATTCAGGGGAGGTCCGGGTAGAAAGACTTCAAAGAGAAAAGCCTCTCTGATCAAGGGTTAACACCCTGGAGAGCTGCTTTATCTAGAAAGTACTAATTCAGAGAAGTGGCGCTGATAGAAATCAGAAGTTTCAAAGGCAGAGGATGGTGTCAAAAGGTGTCTGCAAGTTGAAAATACGGTTGAAGGCATTTCTAGGCAAAATGACTTGGGAAACCAACAGGACTGGAGTAGGTATTTTTTTTTCCAGCACAGTCCACATACCACTTGCATTAGAATCACCTGGGATGGTTATTTAAAAATGCAGGTTTCCGAGCCTCCCTGCAGAACCATTGAATCATAATCTCTAGGGAGCATGCTCTGAGTATCTTCGTTTCAAACACCGCTCAGTAATTCTTATGGATACAGGCCAGGGTGCTTCAGTGTGTTTTTGAGATGAACGGAGGGTGTCAGCGGAAAGAAATCAAGTGAAGAGATGGGAAAGCGGATGGACAGTAATCCTGGAAAGGCAAAATGGGACCTAGGGCGCCAGCAGAAATATTAGCCTAAAAGACTCCCCCTGTGTCCAAGGCCATCCTGCTCACTGTGGCGGAGATTCACGCTCAACAGAGCAGCCAGCAAGGTCTCCATGAAAAGTCTAGTCTTGTGCTTCCACTCTCGGTAATAACATATTACCATCTACAGTGACAGCCTTGATGCCGGAGCTGTACCAGAGGCTGACGTCTCAACAGAAGACAGAGCCACTGATGAGGTCCCCAACCCTCCCGGCAGCAGTGGGGAGAGCACGGACAGCTGGTCCCAGCTCGCCAATGAGGAAGACAACCCAGACGATACAAGTAGCTTTCTGCAGCTCAGTGAACGATCCATGAGGTACCTGGTATTCATTTGACTTCCCAGGGAAACAGGTCTCAGCATGTATTCCAGAAATGCATTTTGAATGGTTCCCTGCCAAGGGTCCCCACTAGGGCAAAGAAGAAAGCTCCCACTAGGCCAAGGTGCCTGCTTGTCACGATTTGTGCTGAGAATTATCTTACTATCCAATTATGGCTTCAATGATCTTGGCCAAGGTTAAGAGTCAGCTGTGTTCCCTTCTCTTAAGCCCCAGCTAATGCATTCAATGATGACAACTGTGATTTTTTTTTTTTTTTTTTTTAATAAGAGCTGCTATTGCACCTGGTGTGTTTGATACTTTCTTTCTGGTTCATTTGTATTTCAGATGCAACCCAGGCTGGGTTTACATGAGGCAAGTGTTTCCACACTGTGTTGTGTTGTTTGGCCTAACTGTTCCTTCCCTCTCTCTCCCCTGCCCTCTGTATTGTTGCTTTGGGAAAGCTCGCGAGGAGCTCTTGAGAGGTCGGATTTGATTGGACCCCAGCCAATCAGGACATATAAACTAAAAACTACCCCTCTGTGAGGAAAAATACAAAAAGAATCTTCACATTTCTGCCCAAAGTCTCATTTGGTGCTGGGCCAACAAGTCCATAGACTTTTTACAGAGGCCAGTTGAAAAATGGGATTCAGATGCATCTGGGTGTATGGCTCCATGGGAGTTTTACTTCTGGCAGTTCAGTCTGTTTAGATTTAAGAAAATTTTACAATGTTGAATAAGTGGTCTAAAATTCCAAAATTCAGACATAAATATCAATTTAAGAGTCCTAGACACAAAGCAATATTCTTCTGGGGACGCAAGGGAGGACCCCTGAGAACAATGCTGAGAAACATTATGATGTAGAAATAAAAAGCAAAGAGGATTTGAATCTTTGGGCTGTGCAGAAGTTTATAGGGTTAATTACTTCCAGTGTAGCGTTTGAGTCATCGAATTTCAATCAGTGAATGTATTTCGTTCCCCCACGCGAAACCAAAACGGGGATTTGAAGCGCAGGGCATCTAGTTGCTTTCTCATGGGCTATCCAAGCGAAGACTGTCCCCTTATGACACACCAGCTCTCCCCCTTTTATAAAATTTACCTGGAAGGGACATCACTGGAAAGTAGAGAAAGCATGAGGAAACTCGGTGGGTTTGGTGAAATTGGATTCATTCCATTTTGCAAGTACAGACAGAGCCTAAAAATCAGCTCAACTGCACTGTGTTTCAATAAATAAGTTTCAGGCCAGTAACTAGACCATATGTCGATTGCGCAACCTATGATAACAATGCAGTACGTGATGTCTCTTTCTCCGGGATCCGTAAGGTAGCAGATGTCGCTCCTTCCCAAAGATGTTAAGATAAAGGAGCTATAAAACTTTGGTATTCCCCAACTTCGTACCTGTGAATTCTGTAGTTCCTTAAGAAAACAAGCCAAGTACATATCCTGTGGAATGCCCCGCAGAAAAGTCCCCTTTTGGCAAAGGGAAAACGTGCATCCACTGGTTTCTGTCAAAAGCAAGTAGGTAAGCGCTGCAGTATCTCTCCCAGGCAGCATTCTCAGTCAGAAGCACCTTCCTTTCTGGGGTTAAACCCCAGCACCCTTCTGCTGATAGATAAACATCCCCACTGTTTCTAGAATGAGGAAGAGAGTCAAGCTGATTGTCCACTAGGTGTGACTTACCAGATGTGACACCACTGTAGAAATTAGAAAAGATCGATGGTGGTGATGGCAGTGATTGGCTCGAGCCCCAAATGTCTTTTGTTATGTTTCCCCCTAATGGTGTCAGAAATAAATATCCCTTTAGGAGTCCTAGACACAAAGCAGTATTCTTCCGGGGACCAGAGGAAGGACAGCGGGCCGTCAGTGTCAGGAGTGTGGCCAGGTGGCGGAGACGCGTTAATATGTAAACTTTTGCTTTGTCAGCAATGGCGACAGTAGCGCCACTAGCAGTATTGGCATTACGGACCCGGACATTTATCAGGGAAGCATGCCATCTTCTCCCATGATTCAGTAAGTAGCCGCGGAGATGCAGTGAATGTGAGACCCACCACTCCACTTCCATCTGGCCATCCATTGTGGTCATCCAGGTCGTGCCCAGCCCCTGGTCTCATCATGTGTGTACTCCGCGGTCGGCAGGCATGTGTGGGTCCGTGTCACTGGAGCAGGAACTCGGGCCTAGAACAGCCCCAGCCTACCACCTCCTGCTTTCCGATCGCACATCTGCCCCCTGTGGTATCATCATTTCAGATAAAGCTTATCCATGTCGTTAGAAATATATGTCGTTTTACCTAGCTGGACACGGAGAAGCAAAAATCCATTTACATTGGACTGTGCCAACCAACGAAGACGATCGTTCAATAGATTATAGTGTGAATGACTTTTCCTTTACTTGTAGACACCCGAGATTATCACTACTAAGAGTGTCCAGCACCAAATGGTGCTGTGACGTGTCATCCCCACACAGTAACTCTGCTCCCTGCAACATGAGGACCTTTCAAAAGAGCAAGGGGAAAAAGCACGTAGAGAAGCACTATATGTATAACGTAAGATTTGGCCCAGAAAGAGAGGGCAACCTGAGGTCAGGACGACATCTAGAGCTTGTGATTCTTCCGGAAAATTAAATGAATCGAGGCCTATTTTTTTTGACCAATGACTTAGCTTACTATTTGGAGATTTCTCGAATTTCAAAAAAATGAAAATGAAATATAGGGCAGAATCTGCTCACTGATCTGTTTCCTCTGTTACTCTCTCTGGCTAAAGCATTTTTTGCTTTACTGTGTAATAAGTATCCTGCCTGTGGGAGTTCTCCTTCGTGACTGAAGGTGGCAATGCCTCCTTTCTTATTGCGCAAGGCCATTATTCACAAGCAGAGAAGCACATACACATTGTCTTGGGTTTGTTTTGTTTTACTTTGTTTTTGTTTTTGTTTTTTAAAGAGAACCAAAAGAAAAAGAAAAAAGAAAAAAATTGACGGTGGCACAAATTTATTTTTCTCCTTCAGGAAACATTTGTGAAGCTACTTTTTCCATCTTTCTTAATGGAGAAAGCTGCTGTGGGGGGATCCTGGGGCCCCACAGACAGTATGACTTCAAGGAAAACCAATACCACCAGCCACCGCAGCACCGTACAGCTCTATGACAGCAGAAACTGTACCCACCACATTTCATTTCACTTGTGTCGCTCGCATAGAGAGCTAACAGAAACTCTAGACCCCTAGGAAAGTTTCCATTCTTCAATATAATTATTAGGTATGCATGGACAAATGACTTCACTCTCTCTAGGAATAAAGTTACTAGGAATAAAATGAAATGTATCGGTCAGATCTTAGCAGTAACATAAAATATAAGGGAGAATCTTCTCTCATAAAAAGATACATTCTTAAGAGCCCCTGTACTTTAATTTTCAGACAGGACAAAAATATAGGACAACCACGGGCCTCTCCGAATGATCACTTCCTTTCAGCAGCTGGGCCACATGTTCTCATTTTGGAAGCGTTTGCTGAGTCTATCCACTACATTCAAGGCCCCCTAATATGTACTCATTATACAAAAACACCTCAAATATGTCTAATTAAATACTTCAGTTATGAATCTCTAGTTCTAAACCACCTTCTGCCCACTACATCCTCTGATTTAAAAAAAAGAAAAGAAAGAAAAAAAATTTTTAACTAATTGAAATATTTTTTGTACAGTTTGGGTTCTGTAGTTCACTGATTATCTCCTCTTACTTCAGATCAAAGAACCATATACATGTAGAGAAAATTTTTTTTAGGCTAAAATGCATATTTATGTTCGTGTCATAGTTTAGAAAAAAATCATTATGTCAAGATGGAAACATATGGTCCTTTAAAGGACCATATGTAAAATACAGAAGGATAAATCCTCAAATCAGAACTAACTACCTACCTAATCTATCTCTCCTTGATGATAACCTCTGAAGGTTTATGGAAAGAAGATCGAGGAAAATAGGATTCCTCTCTCAGAGTCTCTAACACCAATTACCTCAACTAAAACTATGCAGTTTATCTGGCCTTTTTCTTTGTTTTTTTAGGGGCAGCATATTTATTAAAGAGCCCGAAGTCCTATGTTAAGCCAATTTGGTATTTCCCTAGTATTACTTCACCCAATGAAAACGATAAATAAGGAATAAACTTCAGAAACTTTTAGATCAATGAAACCCATAGCCTCATCTTCGATTTACAGCTTCCACTTCTTAAATATGACCAACCATATACTGTTGTTTTCTCCCAAAGTGAATTAGTAGAAGAAAAGGAAATTCTTCACGGGCAGCCAGAACACATAGAGGGTAAGCCACGTTCCCATAACTTCGACCCACAGTTGTCTACGATCTCCCTGCACAAAGCGTAGTAAGGCTGTGTGATTGTGTCTTCTCAGAAGGTGTCTCCCAACTGCCAGCAGGAGCAGCCGGTGATCGCCAGGGGAGCCTGCTGGTGATCAACTTTGACCTGGAGCCCGGATGTCCCGACGCTGAGCTTCGAGCCACTCTGCAGTGGATAGCTGCCTCTGAACTTGGCATCCCCACCATCTACTTTAAGAAATCTCAGGAAAGCAGAATTGAAAAGGTACTGTGCTCCGCATTTGGATGTCAGTAGAGCTGGTGTCTTTATCGCTGCTAGAAACTCAGTGAGTTCCCAGTTAAAGCATTTGAATTAATTGGAGTTCTTTCTTCTTCACTTTTCACCTTCAAATTATGACCAGATCTTTGAAGACTTCCACCTGCATAAATGTAATCATGATTACCGTTTCTTTGACCAAGTTTGTCTCAGCTAGTTAGTGACAATGAGAAAGTAAATTGAAGAGATGGGAACTTTTCAGAGTCTGTTTTATTTTTAATGTTTCTTTGCTCAGAAATAAACCTCTTCATAATACTCATTTACGTAAAAGGGAGAAGGAAAGGCTTGATATACACCAGTAACCAAAGTGAGGCCACATCTAATCTCTTATTCCATTTTATGAGCCAAGTGGTGGAAAGACAATAAGAGAGAAAATGTTGATGGTATTGACTGTTAACTTATTTCAAAAACACTACCCTTCAAGTCTCAGTTTTGAAGTACATAGCAAAAGAAGGAATAATAAAGAGGATTTAGATACTGTCTTAGCCAGCATAGGCTGCTATAACAAAACACTATAGACTGAATGACTTAAACAACAGACTTTTATTTATCACAGTTCGGGAGGCTTAAAGTCCAAGATGAATGTGTCAATGGATTTAGTTCCTGGTGGTGACTCCTCTCAGAGCAGAGAGAGAGCTCTGGTGTCTCTTCCTCGTCATATAAAGGCATGAATCTCATCCGTGGAAGCGCCCTCTTCATGACCTTATCTAAACCTATGTATCTCCCAAAGGCCCCAGCACCCAATGCTATCACACTGTGTGGTAGGACTTCAACATATGAATGTTAAGGGAACACCAGTATTCAGTCCATAATATAGATACTAAGTCTTTTCATTTGTAAATGTAAGAAATTGTCTCGAACTGATCCCTTTAGTCATGGTTCTCAAACTCGATATGTGCCAGAGTCACCTGGGGAGATTTTATAGACCCCGATGCGATGCTCTGGCCAATTAAATCAGAATCTCCTCTTGGGATGAATGAAATTCAAGCATCAGAGTTTTCCAAAGTTCCCTGGTGGTTCCTGAGCACAGCCAAGGCTCTATAGGCCATGATTTCAGGAGCAATGTAAAGACGAGCTCATTTGTGCTTAATGGAACAGAATTCCACCTTGTAGCAAAAGAAGGTAGCTACCTTCAGAAACTTATGTTAAATGTTTCCAAAAAAATCACACAGCTTGCAACAGCTCCCATAGAGTTCACCATATGATTTGGTTAATGGTCAATCTAATTTAGTAAATGCACCTGAGACTGTAAAAGATACTTTTCTTCAAATGAATCTACCAATATCATCACAGGATGTAAATTCTTCCAGTTTCCTAAGACAAAACGTTTGCTCAAGGAAATGCCAATTATGACATATACAAAGGGAATCTAATTATTATTGATTCTAAAATAGCAAGAAATGAAAAATTATGACTTACTTTTCAATGAATTGGGAAATAAAATCTGATCCCTGACACACGAAAGCTGATTATGAAATCACCAAGGCAATAACATGGGAAGTGAAAGATCTAGGACCAGCTGCTGGTTAGAATATGGCTTTGAAAGGCTATGGTAATGAGCTGAAAATGTCCTTTTCTGGCTACTTCACAATCTTAGCGCCATTTTTATCTAGAAAGTTTTATAAGTGGAGGGAGAAAAGAAAGTATAAGACCTTCCTGTTCATCAGCCCTGCAGATGTTTCAAGGTCTCAACGCCTGAGATTAACTCTTCACTGCCTCAGAGCAGGCTATATTTAGTAGGACCAGATCTCTTTTAAAAGCTGTATTATTGAGATATCAACCTGAATTTAGAAATCATGAGAGAAACTCTAGCCTGGGATTATTCTACAAACTACTGGCAACGTGGCCTCGCTGGTGGAGTATTTCGATAACTTTGGGCCAGTCAGCGACATCCTGTGGTCATCACCACACTGGGAGACTCTCCTTCAGCAGGTCCCAGGTAGAGAGAAAGAAGCTGATATTGGGCTTCCAGAAAGGTCTGTAGCAGAGAGGCTTCTGGGAAGGGTTTGGAAAATATTGGCATCCGCCCCTAAGCTTTAATTCTCTTTTACAGCAATGACACAGAGATAAAAGATGGGAACAAATGGGTGGTCCAGTGTGCCAGGATGTACAGCAAGAAAAAAGAAAGGGGCTTAGGCCAATTCTATAGCTGTGTCCTTTATGTTGATTGCATCTTTATAAGACATGTTCAAGGAAGGGAGACCTCAGGCAGGTATCTAGCCTAAGGCCACTGGTGACCATTGAGGGAAATCTTGATGAGAAATCAACACCTATGAGCCTCTCTCAGTGAGACCTCAGAAACTAGATGTTCATGCTTCTGCACCAAGAACACCTACTTTCTAGACTTCCGGTAAGAGCTGGAAAAGCCTGATTAATCAAATCATGCAAAGACATCCTAGCCTTTCTGTCCTTCTCTCTGATGTCTCGTGTTTTTACCACTTGGTCCAATATAAAACATGCCTTGGACCATTTATATACACCAAGATATAAGTAACAGCTCACAAAGTTGTTTTTGTGCATCTTCATGACTTATTTATAGCTGCTGGCAATGTTCCCCTATCTGAGGGTATTTGCTCTTTAAGCAAAGCCTTAACCTAAAGGATTAAGCTCTCTAAAATTTCAGGAATCTGATAGTTAGGCAGAATTGTGAGAGATCCCAAACAACTATGAGTCTCTGAAATTCTGTCACTGAGACCAATGGAGCTGAATGGAGCCAGCAGTCCCTTGCTGTTGCAGTGAAGAGTGAGGAAGGGTCTTGGGTGTCCCACCCCGACAACATCCACTGTCAGTCGCTGTGCGACAAGAGACATGCCCCACGACCAGCTTTTAGTTGGATCCTTGCCCACTACTATTGATTGCCCCAATCTAGGCTTTGTTCAGCCTTTTCCTAAATCCATGGCTTCCGACCATTTTTGTGGAACATGCTATCAAAGAAAATTATTGAATAAACAACCGCAGGATATGCATATTTATTTTTTAATTACATATGTGCAAATACATTACGTAAAACTCGGGGATGAATATTTAGACAAGGTCCATCTGCAATGATTCTGAGCGTCACTTGTATTTAAACAGTCTTCTTGACCGTTTGAATGTATTTGACTTACATGTGGTCATTCGTGCCCTCTGTCACTCAGCATATATTTATTGGACATCAGTTAGGTGCAGGCACAAGACATTAAAAGATGGCTAAGATGTTGTCCTTCCCCGGGAGGTTATCGTTTATAATATAGTTGCCATCAGCCTCCCATCTGTCTCCCTTTTTACATCATCCTAAAACTCTTTGAGATAATGTTTATGTTTCCATGCATTAAAAGTTAAGTATTTCATTTTCCTGCATAAAAAATTGCTTTATTCTGACTAAGCCAACACAAGGCGAGTGAGTACAATAAAGCGCTGATTTCTGTAACTGTGCGAATAGTTGGTGCCATCACAGCTGGGAGAAGAAACATAATTTAATAGGAGCTCTTTATAAGCAAACTTCTCAGTAATTGAAATGAATTAACGAATTCAAGCTGGAGAGAAGGAAAAAGACAGATAGAAATTAGCATTTCAGTTTCTGGCTCATCTTAAAAAATCTGAGCAAACACACAAAAAAAAGAGCAAGCAGAGCCAAAAATCCTAGAAGGAAACATTGAAGAAATAGTAACTAACCCACAACCCTCATCTCTTTAATAGGTCTTTCTACTTCTTAGCAGCCTGTTCTTTTCTCACTGTGATCCAAATAAGTATCAATGCCATATCCTCCCACTGCCCAAAAGCAGAATCAGCACTGTGATGGAGTGTTAGAAAAACGGACATCCTACTACCAACATTTCACCTCTCAGACCCTCAACCTTAAGGTTGACGGAACGGAGTGAGAGCACATACATGAAAATATTTCCTATAAGTTTTAGCTCTTTAATAATTGTTACTTTTTTTTTTTAGTATCTAAGGATTTTGTGAGGTCTTCACACTAGGCTTCATCCCATAGTTTCGTGAAGGAAATAAATGATTCCAATATTTGAGTGCACGATTCACCTGTAGTCAAAAACTTTCTAAGTTGTGACCAATGAAAGCTAGCAGCAGTAACCAGGGTGATTAATCTAGGGTTTTTACACAATTTTTCCTTTTCCTGTTGCAATGAAAAGCGAACTTCTTATGATGATGGTGGAGGGGACTTTTCAAGATGGAATGAGGAAACAGTAGGTGACCCAACCCGAAAGTTTAGCACTCGGTTGATTTGGCCTAAATATACACATCCAAATGAGAGATTATTTGTGACACATATGGAAGAGATTGGGAGCCATACTACACAGTTCCGTCAGAGAAAGTTTAATCCAGAGAAAAGCAGACCTGAGGAAACTCTTTATCTAAAAGACATTTCAGACTCTTAGAAGAATTCCATCTCGTCTGTCACAATCAACGAATGGCAGCTGCTGTGAGGAAAAGTCCATGTCAGTTGAAAGAACTGTCTAGTAAGCCTAACTGTCTTGAAAGAAAATAGACTGTCCTGGAAAATAGTACCACGTCACCAGAGATCTTTAAAAGTAACCTGCAGAGCCGTTGGCTTTGCAAGAGCGATTGAATGAGACGACTTTGAAGATCCTCTGTGATATGTGAGTTCTAACTCTGTGCTTTACTTTAGTTTCTAGATGTCGTGCGGCTGGTTCATCAGAAGTCCTGGAAAGTGGGAGATATCTTTCATGCCGTTGTTCAGTACTGCAAAATGCACGAGGAGCAGAAAGATGGAACTCCAAGTCTCTTCGATTGGCTGCTGGAACTGGGCTAAGGCAGCCATGTCGTGTAGAGTGTTCCTTCCCTCCATTTTAGCTTAGATTATAGTGATTTGCTCTAAATGCTCTAAACTTTCTCAAGACATTGCATCACGTTAGCAGAGCTATAAAAAATCTGCTGCTCAAGTCTACTGCACACGGAATAAATCTGAGGAAAAGCAAAATGTAGATTTGTACAAATCAGTACAACCTGTGGGTGAGTTCAAAAAGGTTTGTATTTAAACGGCTGGGAAAACAGAAACTTTAACGGGCCTCAAATTAAAAGCTTATAACCAGGCCCAAACTCTAGGCAAGCTGTACTTGCATATTTTTCATAATATAAAATATATAATGTCTTCAATTATGTGAATCAACTGGAAACAAAGTCGCTGGTCAAAAATAACTTTGTAAACTATACTGTAACCTTTATGTTACTTTTTTGAAAAGATTAAGGAGGCGTCAGCCCAGGTGAACACCCAAGATATGGTAAGAGATTTCCAGAAGTTTGATATGAAAGATTTTCACTTTCAGACCAATATCAGTGGCTACGAACAGAAATGCTGGAGTATTATCAGTGTCCTCTACTGAGGTGATTCCATTTATTCACTGCAATCTGCTGATGAATATTTCATGTCTCCCCCACCATATCTGGGTTCCTGGCTAACCAGAAAGCTACAGGTGTTTGTCTGAGAGAGAGAAAGATTGAAGATTGTCTTGTTTCCATCTCTGTATTACTTGGTTAACATGATGATGGAATTCATACCCTAAGAGTAAACAGTCTTTGAGAAAAAAGTCTTTGGGATAAAATCTGCTTGTGTATGAAATTATAAAAAATATAAATTTTTATTTTATTTTTATTGTAAATTATGAGAGATTGTTATCTTAAATCAAGTTGGCTTAGAGGTTTATAAAATATGAAGAGATTATTGTCTTAAGCCACATTTTGACACTTTGAGTTCAGTGATTTCATTATAAACGTGTTGCTACTCGTGTGGCCCACCTTCTACTTAGATGGCATTCACAATGACAAACGCAGGATTTGACATAACCAGTTGGATCACAGACTCTTCCTGATTCAAAGATATTGACATTTAATTTGGGAAAAGGAAAACCTTATCACATTTAAGTATCTTAATAACAGAGATTTAGTGTTTTGAAAAGTAAAGTACCTAACTTCTCCCTAATTAATCTTCTTTCCTTTCGACTAAATGAGCTACACTGGCTTTTATCTTCTTCATCAAAGAAAGAGTTTATTAAAGATTTCAGGAAACACTATGCTTTTACACTATTTTTAAAGATCATGAAGTCATTTTAAATGTGAACAAAGCCCCACGCTAGCAATGCTGGCCTTAAGCATCCATCCATATCTTGAAATGTCAACAAAGCTTCCTTATAAGCCACACTTCCCTTCCCACCCAGGAATCTGTCCCAGGACTCATTAAGCATTTATTACAGAAATGGTCCAAATTTAGGTTATGCGTGCAATTTGACACATTAATCAAATGTCAAATTTTAAATTTACTCATCATCTCAAGCTGAAATTTCTTTGGGATACTAAATGGAAAAGGATCTATTTATTTTATTAACAATCCCAGAATATTGTATGTAGACTTTTCTTGTGCTCGAATGAATGTTTACTTATTCTACAAAGCACAAATACTGAATTGTAACCATGTGATGAAGTTATATATGTTGTACTTAACATTGCAAACTTATCAATAAATTTCTGTTGCCAAATTGTTGGCCATTTTTTCTCCCAGAACTTTAAGCCCCTCGTAGAAAAAAATAATCACAGCGTGATTGGATGAACATAGATGTAGCCCTTAGACAAGTTTTGCTGTCTCACTTTTGGCTTTTGAATGAGCAAATGTTCTTTGATTAAAGTTGCTAGCATCAGGAACACTCACATAAATCAGCGTTTTTCAACCTTGGCACTATTGACATTTGGAGCTGGATGATTCTCTGTTGCAGAGGGTTGTCCCGTGCATCATAGGCTGTGCAGCAGCACCCCTGGCTCCTACCCACTCGATGCCAGTATCCACGTCCTCCCAGTTATGGCAACCAAAAATGTCTCCCAACATTGCCAAACATCTTCTAGAAAATTTGCCACTGGCCGAGGACTTCCGGCTGAGGACCACTGGTATAAATAATGCATTGAAGGGGCAGAGCCTGAGGCTCTAAGAGGCCTTAAGGTAGAGAAGCTATTAGCTCCTGTCTGGGGAATCCCAGCAGGAACCCGAAACCCAGGCATTCTCTCTCCACCCTGCCAAGGCCCGTGGGCTGTGGCCTTAACGGTAAATTGGAGGAACGGAAGAAAAAGGCACAAGACAAACAAGCAATCTTCAGGCCTGGGGATAAACTGACCTAGAGCTAAACTTATCAGACTTAGAAGTAAGTGGATCAGTGCTCTTCGAATTCAGGAAATACATTATTAGAATTCATGCAAAGAAGGCACTGAGACTCCCGGGCACTTTATTCACTAACAAGAAGGCATGAATATGCTTATGTAAAGAAGAATTCTCTAGTCAGCCAGAGGGTAATGTCAAATAAAAGCAAACTCTGGACAGTATAAGGAGAGTTGATTTGACAGCATTATTGCAAGAGCGGGAGAGGGACTGTAGCGATGGAGGAGGGAATTGTTGAAATAGCCGGAACGCTCCAGCCGTGAGATGTGCACGTGTCTCGAGGGTTAGGCAAAAAGGGGTTTATTTTACAGAGAGGAGTAATCAAGACCCAAAAGGACCAGGTACAGAAAGCAGGATGGACAAAACGAGGCAGAGGGAAGTAACATGATGAGACGGCAGGTCAGAAAACGTTTTATCCTGAGCTCAGCCCATTCTCGGGAGGGTTCCTTGAGGACAGTCTAAGGACGGGTCAAAGTTCAGGGCCTGGAGAAAGCAGACGAGCTTAACTAAAATTTGGTTGACAAGCATTTTGTCCCAGTGGATCAGTAGATACAAACAGTTCAGCTTATCATTTATAAGGCATAGGATGGGAATTCGGAAGGTCCTTGTCGGAGGCTAACGAAGGAGCATCCATGAGTCTAAGGCTTGGAGTTTAGCTCCAAGGAGCCAGCCAAAGGCATGACCTGAAAACTGGCCTCTTTTAAGAATGAGCAGGGTTTGAGCAACTCAAACCTTCCAAGTTAACGCTTTCCTGCACAAGCGTTTATTGTCATCTGCTTTCTAGCATGGTAAGCTGAACACGTGTCTCTGTCAATCACTGTGAAGTCCTTCAGGATGGCACAGGCTTTTACTCATCATCTGGGGATTCCGCCATAGTCCCTAGCATGCCTTGTCCACAGTAGACATCGAATTGAAATGGCAGAGCTAATAGACCTTGGCTAACTGAGGCTTTGGTTTACAGCTAATGATGTTCAACCATCAATGCTAGAAACACAATTTTACATTAATGTTCTTCTTTGCTTATCGGAGACTGCTCTCTGGCATCTAAAGCTGCTCAAGATTTTTTATGAAATTACTTTTGGAGTTATGCAAGGAAACTTTCTATAAGAATCTGCCTTTTACTTTAATTACGTAAGAACGTTTGACCCAAGGAACTGAAAAATATTTTCGCTGTTGGAACAAATTTAAGGGATATTCAGGGAATTATCAGCAGGACTTGGAGGACAATCGAGTGCAAATAGGTTTGAATTCAATGGTCCGAGAGGGGGAAATCATTTGAGCCTCCCTTCTTATCAGCAAAAATTGTTTATGCTCAGACAAACAAAACGCTAATCCACCATCATTGTTGCAAGAATCCATTGGCCATCTAAAATTTCACTTCTCGAAACCGTCCCTTCAAAAATGTCTCCTTGTAGAAGACAATCTGGTGACAGCCAGAGGGGAGGGGGGTCGGAGGACTGGGAGAATGGGGTGAAAGGCTAAAGAAGTATAAATTAGTAGTCACAGGGATGGGGAGCACAGCATAGGGAATGCAGTTAGCATTAATATGTTGGCTAGGTGGAGGACCAGGGGAGGGAGGGAGCAATTAGGAGGATCGTGTTATAAACTATATAAATGTCTAACGAATGTACCGTATACTTGAAACTAATAGAATAAAATTTTTTAAAAAAGGCCATCCATTAACAAGAAAAAAAAGCTCAAAAAAAAAAAAATGCCTCTCTTTTCAAAGTCCCATATCCGGTCTCACATTCTCCTTTTCAATTTTCACATCTGCTTCCTATATCTTCCCCTTCCATCCTTCATTAAACACTTACCAACAATTATTTACTTGCCTTCGAAGAGTCCCACTGCTTTGTCGAACGCTGTCCAATGTACCCACTTTACTCTCCACCGTTTGCTTTTCTGGCCTAGAACATGGCGGGGAATCCAGACTCTCCCATGACACCGAGCACCACAAAATCCAGATGCAAAGACTGCGTCAGGGCCCAAACCTGTATACACACACAACACACGCCTGCATCATCACCTTACAGACAGTGGCATGAAGCACAGGTAAAGCAGGAGCAAGAGGTTCTCTTGTCACAGAGAAAAGCAGAATGACTCGTCATTTGTTCAGATAGAACGAAGGTGAACAAAACAAGGAGAGCCTCTAGCTTTAAGTACCGAATTCTTTTCCATGCCTGTGTGTGCCATTTGGGAAAGTTACTTTTGCCTGCTATTCAAGCAACAGGCCAATTATCTCAATCCTTGCCTTGTTTTTAGTGATAAAGGCAATAGGTCACATATTAACCTTTTAGGAAACTCATACAAATGTCTCACAAAGCCTCACTAAATTAGATCAGTTATTTCTTCCTTCATTTTTGACATTATGATCTTATTAAAATCAAGCGCAGGGATGTACGAGAGAAGAGCAGTTACACAGTCCCAGCGGCACGTGTCCTCCGGCATATTACTAAATGTTCTGGAACATTTTGTCTTCTTTTTTAGTATAAAAAATCAAATTATGTGGATCACACGGGCTAGGAGATCACTTCCTCAGCCGAAACATTCTACGAATTGCTGTTTGGCAGAGACAAGGGTAAAGGTGATATCGACTGGAAGAGAAAAGCAAT